TTTTTTTTTTTTTAAGTAAATGAAAACCCAGGTCTCATTTCTTCCAGCTAATTTCCTACTTCCTCATTCTACTGAATAGGTCCCTTCCACTCATCTTTCCCTCCCACTGTAATTCAAAGCATCACACACAGGTAAGGCATGCAGAGGTCACACTGGCATCCTACTGCTCATTTTTTCTGTTTGTCTTTGCTTGAGTTTGGCTGGGAAAAGGCCACCCTACATTCTCTATTCACCTTTTGGAAGACTAGTTCAGGCTAATCTTAAATTCTGCTTAGGCAACACTGCCTACCAAAGCTGTTCCTAGAGGAAGTAGAGCTCCAGAAATCCCAGCCATAATCCGTTCGACAAATGGTAAAACTCTTATCCTTCTTTGGCTGGAGTTTCTTCCTCCAGGGTTAGAACACCCTCCTTGAGTTCCCTATTCACGCCTCCTTTCCTCCCCATAATCCAACATTCTGTACACCTGAAGTGCTTAAATACTGAATTGCATTGCCGTTTTTGTTTGTATGTATCTCAAAAATGATACCAGTATTCTCATTTTTTTCTGCCCTCCTTTCCTAATAACTGGGTCTGTGCCGGGCTCAGGCTTGCCTTTAAGTCTGGCCAAACTGCGCCAATGCGGCTGTGTTTCAGAGGCCAAGCTCAAAGCACAGTAAGTGCTCAATGAAAAGTTCCTGGACTGAACGGGCTTCTTCGAGCTCTTCAGCCTGTCACCCTATTTTCTTTGCTTTCTCGCTCTGCCCCGTCCGGGAGCACTCAAACACACTCATAACCACTGAGGAGGCTTCCCGAACCTAGGTTTCTGCTCTGACTTGGGCCGGGGTCTCGTTTTCTCCTCGCACTCTTCCTTAACGTCCCGATTCAGCAAGAAACAAGAGTGACACAGAGCCCTCAGACCCACTCTGGGCCGAGTTCCTACACAAGCCCTCCCGCCCCAAACGCCGCCGCACTCTCACCCGGACCCCCTGGCGGCTCGCCGTGCGGCTGGGGCCCGGGGGCACCGCCGTCCAGGATGGCGAAGGCCTCGTCGTTCTCGATGCCCGCAATCTCGCTCTCTTGCTGCGCCAAGAAGGCCGCGGCCGGGTCTTCTTCGCCGGCACCGACCACCCCGTTCCCTAGCGCGGGGCCGCCAGGGGCGCCGGCAGGAGCGCCGAACGGATCAAGTTCAGTCATGGCGGGCAGTTCAACGGCACGGACACCGACGCTGAGCGACAAGCCAACCGACCCACCAACACCGCGCCCCGCAGCGGCTGCTGTGGCGGCGACCGCGACCCGACGACAAGCGGGAGGGAGAAGACGGAAGCGGAAACCCTGCCCCTATATCCGGTTGGTGTAGGCGGTGTTGGAGAGCCGAAGGGATAACAACCAATCAGAGGACAGCGATGGTTCGAGAACTACCCAATCAGCAGGAGGAGGGGCGGGCCCCCGAGGAAAACTCGTGACTCGGGCCGCGACGGCTGTGAGGGTGGTGAGTCCGGCAAGGCCCGAGGGAGGCGGAAGTGGCTTGACTTAAAGTAGCCTTCCCTGCCTGGCCTTTGGGGCTCCCCTGCCCGTGGACTGCCAACTCTGCGGAGACTCAAGTGCCAAAGCCGGAGGTGAGGTGAAGTGAGGGCGGCAACGATCGATCGGTTGACTAAGGCAAGCTGCTTAGGTTTCCTGAAACCCCGTTTGCTCGTTTGTGAAATGGGAACGAGAATCCTACACTGCTTCCTTCGCAGGCTCCTTGGGAAGACTGAATACTTTCACGGCTGTGTACTGGCTTTATTAAAAATGTTGTATTTGTTAATTCATTCACCCAGCCTGGATTACTTTCTCTTGTAGAGCCGCCTGACTTAAACGTAATTAAAAATTCCTGCAAATCCACTCTGTTTTTTCAACCCCACCGTATGTTTATAAAAAGGCGAATAGCTCTCCTTTCCAAAGCCCTTTTGCAGCCAGTACAACTTACTAGGGCTAGACAGAAGTTTCTAGAACTGCAACACTGCTTAGGGATCACCTAGGAATTTCATATTGGAACAGGCCCCCGTCTGGGAAGGGATTTAGCACGCAGGGAGTGGTCAAGAGGAAACCCAGGTCTTCTGGGCACCTCGGTAATTGTACAGCCTCTTGTATGTACATATTTATGTCAGCTGAGGAGAACAGGAGCTTTCTGTAAAATTCGTTCAGTATTTTACATCAGGGGATTTTGTCTACACCATAGAAATGATGATTGCTGATCACAGTTAATCGAGCTCTTGCCGAGATAAGCAATGGCCAAAAGGAGGATCTTTCTCCTTCACTACCACCCCCTCAAAAGGAAAACAGCAAAAGTCAACCAGAGATCAAAGAAGTCTCCAGAGATAGTCATCAAGGGACAGGAAAGTGGTTTTTTAAAATACACATGTAGCTTTAATGACAAAAAGTGGTAATTATTTGCTTAAAGCATGTATTTTTAGTCATTTTCAGTATGGAACATAGGACAGTTTTGAAGAAAAACATTTAAGAAACTTAAAATTCTAGGGCCTGCAATTCACTCAGTTGTCTTCTCCCTCTTCTTGTTTAATGCTCATCCCTGACGTAAATTATCCACAACATAGGAAGTCGTTTCACATTCATCTTTTCCTTGAAACAATCTCTCCTGCCCCGGGCGGAGGATAATGGGAAAGGATGACCATGAGAGAGTCCAAAGAAGGCAACTGTTGAATGCTGAGGGACCGACAGCACTCACTGCTGAAAGTAAATCCATACAGCTGAAGACAAGTGTGGAGTCAACTCAGGGAGGGCTTGAGTGCCCAGGTGAGGATTATTCCTGAATTTCAGGGGCTGTAAGGAGCCTTTGAAAGACTTTAAGCAGGCAATAACTAGGAACCCTGTTTTGAAAGAATCTTCTGGCAGCTCAGGCAGTGTAAGCATATGAGAGGGTTCGGAAAGCAGGGAGTTCAGTTAGGAAAGGTGCTGCAGTGAACCTGCGGTGGTTCAGGAGAGGACAGGGGCCAAGGATGATATTTCAACAGAGCTGCTGTGGAAGGAAAATAATGGAGGTAATGTACAGAGAACTTGGGAAGTGACGGCATTTAGGAGGGAAGAGATTCACAGACAATATTTTTTTTAAAGATTTAATTTAGAAAGAATCTGAGCTGGGGGGAGGGGCAGAGGGAAAGGGAGAATCTCAAGCAGACTCCCTGCTGCTGAGCGTGGAGCCTGCCATGTGGGGCTCAATCTCAAGACCCTGAGATCATGACCTGAGCAGAAAGGTTTGACTGAGCCACGCAGGTGCCCCCACAGACAATATTTATAGCTTAGAAAACCACGCACAGAAATAGCTAGGACAGGAAAAGCCAGTTGAGTAGGATGAGGCAGGAGATGAAGAGTTCAGTGTGACTTCGTACTGAGCACAAGGGACCTGTGAGATAATTCAGGAGGCATTCAACAGGATATTGGAAATCAGTCTGACATTTAGGAGAGAAGGCTCTAATTCTAGCAATGGTGGGCAGAATTGCCTAGGGCCAACTCTTTGCTGCAAATAACCAGAAAAGCTGGGCAAGAAGTTTTCAAAATCTCTCTGAAGGCATCAGAGGACGACCAAAGCAGTGAGGAATTGTGGGCCCAAGTTCTAGGAGAGGAGGGTAAGCCAAGAAAAATGATCCTAACGTTTCAAGCCACTTTTTCTCTCAAGGAGATTGTTAGTTCTAAGAGCTGAGAAGCTGAGTAAAGCTTTCAGTAAACAAGGCTGGGAGGAGGGGCGCCTGGGTGGCTCAGTTAAGCGTCTGCCTTTGGCTGGGGGTCGTGATCCCAGTGGCCTGGGATCGGGCCCTGAATTGGGCTCCCTGCTCAGCGGAGAGCCTGTTTCTCTCTCTGCCCCTCACCCCGCTCGTGCTCTCTCAAATAAATAAACAAATCTTTGGGGTGGGGGGACAAGGCTGGGAGGAGAAAATAGTTGAGGGCTTACCAAAAAGGAAGGACCCTGATAACTACCAGGTTTTTAGTTTGGATCCTGGAGGGCTACGCAGTTGGAATCAAGATGAAAATTGACTAAAGCAGAGCTTTGAGTCCTGTAATTGCTTGATTGAATTAAAATGATCCAGGCTTTCTAGTGTCTTTAGCCTAGAGCTGCCTGCCAGAAGCAACAGTAAATTCTAATAGAAAAAAATTCATCGAAAAATAAGCATGAAAAGACAACATGCTCAGAGACATTGTGAGAGACAGACTTAGAATAGAAATTCCAGAGGATTCGGATAATGGATTTATCAGACCTAGGTTTTAAATTAGATGTGATTGAGCTAAAGAAATTAAAATAGAGAATTTCAGCAGTTTAAAAATGTGAACTAAAATTTATAGTATCTGTTATTAATTCAGTGGATAAATTTAAGAGTGGATTAGACATGGCTGAAAAGAGAATTAGGGAACCAGAAGATAAGCAGAAAAGTATCGAGGCTGAACACAGAAAGGAACATAAAAAAACATATGGGATATGAGGGATAGGTGTTGGGTTTTTTTTTAAGTTTTTATTTATTTTAGAGAGATTGAGAGAGTGTATGCATGTGCTCACAAGGGAGCAGCGGTGGGGGGGTGGGGCGAAGACAGAGGGAGAGAATCTCAAGCAGAATCCATGCTGCAGGCAGAGCCAGATGCAGGGCTCAATCCCACGATCCCAAGGCTATGACCTAAGCCAAAACCAAGAGTTGGAGGCTCAACTGACTGAGCCACCCACGTGCCCCAGGAATAGGTTTTATAAACATGTAATTTTAGCTAGAAGGAGGAGAGAGAATGGAGCAGTGCTAGAAGACAAAACGGCTAAGAATTTTCCAAAATTGATGAAACCAAGCCATGGTTTTAAGAATCCATGAACTCCAAGCAAGATAAAAAATACCCTCCCAACAAAATGTAATGAGCACTGGGTATTATATAAGACTGATAAATCACTGACCTCTACTTCTGAAACTAATAATACATTATATGTTAATTGAATTTAAAAAAATAAAAAATACCCTCCCTAAAACAATTAAAAAAAAATTTATAGGCCTCTTGTGCATTTTTAAATTGACATCTTAATTTTTTCATAACGTAGTTGCAAGGATGTAATTTCTAATATATTGTAAATATTGATCCATTTAAATAAAATTGTTGCATTGCTCATTAAATGTATCCAATGGTGTCTTCATGATTTGATACTATCATCCATTAAAAAAAATACATTGCAAAGCCTTTTATTAACACTAAAAAATTTCAGATTCTTACTTTCGCTCCTTGAACACATACTGTCATTCCAACACTTGCCCCTAAATTCTATCCCATTAGAATGTTTTTGTGCTTGACTTTTTTTTTAAAGATTTATTTTAGAGATAGAGAGCAGGAGGAGGAGCAGAGGGAGAGGGACAAGTAGACTTCGCACTGAGCATGAAGCCCCATGCAGGGCTCGATCCCACAACCCTGAGATCATGATCTGAGCAGAAATCAAGAGTTGGACACTCAACCAACTGAGCTACCCAGGCACCCCAGCTTGAAAGACTTCTATTGATCAATGTATCATACTTTTTTGTAACAATGTAATATAAATATAATTGACTTTTTAAAAATATCCCATAACCATAAGGCTCTGTTAAAATTCTGTTTTGGATTGACATAATTATTAGTAGTATACATTTAATCAAAACAGCAAAATATACCAGAAAATGTCATAATTATTAAATATAAAATGTAAAATTTTATTAGAAATTCCTGTCTTAAAAAGCTAGATGGGCTTGTATTATCTATTGCTGTGTAACAAATTATCTTAAAACTTAGCACCTTAAGGTAACAAACTTTTATTATTTCCCAGTTTCTGAGGGTCAGGAATCTGGGCAGGCTTAACTGGGGTTCTGACTCGGGATCTCTCATGAGGTTGTAGTCAATCTATTGGCAGTGTCTGCACTCATTAAAATCTTGATGGGGACAGGATAACCACTTCCAAGGTCACTCACATGGCTGTTGGCAGGAGCTGTTGGCTCCTTGCCACATGAGCCTCTCCAAAATGTTGCTGAGGACACAGAAATTGGCATTCTCCAGAGTGAGTAATCCAAGAAAGAATGACCAAGACAGAGGCATGGTATCTTTTAATAGTTTTATTGAGATACATTTCACATCCCATACAATTCACCCATGTAAAGTGTACAATTCAGTGGCTTTTAGCATAATCACAGAGTTGTGCATCCATCACCACTATTTTCATTACCCGCAAAGAAATTTTACACTCCATCTTCTCAAACCCTCTAACTCTAGGCACTAAGTTTCTACTTTTTGTCTCTATAAGTTTGCCTGATATGGACATTTCATGAAAATGGAATTATACAGTATGTGGTTCTTTGTGACTAGCCTCTTTCACTTAGCATAATAGTTACAATGGTCGTCCATGT